GGAAGTTTGCTGCTCTCTTGCTGTTGCCTGATGAAAAGGACAGTTTTCAGTTCAGTTTTTGGCATTAGGGTCCATGAAAAAGAAAAAAATCTCCTTAATGTTGTGTTAGATCAGGAAATCTCAATGTACTAAATATATGATAATTAAAGCTACTGGTAATAAAAAATAAACAGGTAAGATGTTTAAACATTATTATAAGAAACGCGATCACTAAATCAATTTGAACAATGTCAACATATCTGATAATAAGCCAACTTTAACTAATACTAGAACCGTAACTAAGAGGAGATAGTGGAACTAAGAGAGGAAAATAATCTATGCATTTCTTTATAGGTTTCTTGCTTTTCTTTTTGCCAGGAGTAAATGTTCCAATAGCACCTTTTTTTGCGACGGGGTAAAAACCTTTTAGCTCGAAACCACCGCAAATGAGTTAGTTTTTGGAGAATTTATTGGCCTTTTAGCGAAGAAAGCTGATTTTGAAGTTCCAGCCTTTCATTTAATTTTAGAGCGTTAAATATCTAAAAAGGAAAGTCGTCGACGAAATCGCATTCAAATCTGCAGGAACGAAGCTGGAAACAGTGAAGTGAAGGTAAGAAAGTTTTATTTTGCATTTCTTTTAACTTCATGATCCGGCTGTTTACTTCGTTGAAACCGCACCTTAATGGTCAGACTCGATGGTCATCTACACTCATCTACACAGTACTCCACAGCATAACTAACATTGGCCGTAAAGTAGGCCGTGCAGAAAAGCTAAAAAGACGGTGAGGTGTAAATAATTACATTTTATTTCATGTAATAAGAGAAAAAAAAAAAGGAAGAAAAAAAAAATCAAACTCCACAAATGGGAACTAGTGGATGGACCTTGGGAATGAAGCTGAATTAAGTTGCCAACTATGAAAAGTAAGAGTTACTTGTAAATTACAACTGAAGTGATTTCCGGTTTAACAAATTTCTTTCCAATTTCATCGGTAGTGCACTCTTTCTTCAAAAACTCCATGACTTCTTTATAAGCCATTTTGTCGGCATTAGCTCGGAAGTTTTCTTGGTGGGTTAGGAAATCGAGAAGCAAGGCACCATCTGCAGATGTCTCGTCGAAACAGCTGGTGATTTCGGCATTGTACTGGACAGTCCATAATTTTTTGTATTTCCAGTTGTTCCTTTGAGCAATTTCCACAACATCCACCTCAGTGTAGAGTTTGTTCACCAGGCCAAGTTTGACAAGTTCAACACCAACCGTGTTAAGTTTCACGGCCAGCTTCGGGAAAAACGATTTCTTTGGTCCAACTGTGCAGAACATGGCTCCGCCGTTAGCAAGCAGCTGAAGACAGCCCTTTAAGGAGCTTTCAGCATCCATGTAGTACAGAGCTGCTACAAAATGAATCATGTCGAAGTACTCTTCATGTGGTAAAGACTCCAGAAATTGCTGGAAGGTCTTCCTGTGCCATTCGAACGAAACATCCGCCAAACTTTTCAATGGCTGCGGTAGCGATGTTAATGATGACTTGAACTCCTGTATCAATACACTGCTGGGTTCCACGATGGCCGTGTGTATCACTGGTTTCTTCTTTTGTGAAGAATTGATAGCTGTTGCTATTGAATTTAGAATTCTCAGATCACTTTTCCCATTTCCACTGCCAACACCAAGAACACGAAACGTAGGAGACGCAAGACTTGAGATGTTGTTCATTGTATGAGCAGCAACATCTTCCGCAAAATTCGCAAGAGTTTCCCTTGCTGTAGATGTTTTCCAGGATAATTCAAGTGCAGCGAGATATCGATCTTGTCCTTTGGCTGACATCATTTTACCGAACAAATGCCTGACTCCAGTTACAAGGATGATACAAGGTTTGCTCAGTACCAGAAGTTAACACGAGAGTAGTGGAATCACTTATGAGTCCGTTGCCTTAATTGTAAATGTTTCTTTTCAAGTTAGAACTGGCACTCGATTTCCAGGTCGATACACGCGCATGCGATAAACACCAAACCAATAGAGGATCTTTTCTTTCTTTACGTGAAGAAATTACCTAAGTATTATGCGATCATAGCTTTAAGAATAATATCAATTTGGGCAACGAGCACGTGCCAATTAAAAGAACCAAGAAGAATAAAAAAACTAGCGATGAGTTTCGATTTGAATCACAACTACGAGTTAACATAATCACAAAATATATTATTGCTTAGCAACGTTCGCAGGTCTTGACCACTTTATCGAGGACTACGGTCTAACTCGTCTTCTATTTAGAAACGATCTTGATTACACGAGGTCTTATCCTAAACTGAAACGTTAACTAGAATTTTCTGTCTGAAATGAACTAATCACGGAGGCGTTTATCAAACCAGAAAAATATCTCGCATAAAAGCACCTGGAAACGAGCTTGCACGATGCAACACAATTAGATGAGTATAAAAGTACATGAAAATTGTGTTAACAATTGAAATACAAAATTCAGAAGGCGCAATGAGATGGAATTGTTTATCTTACAATGATACTGTCATTTTGAATCAGTTTGAAGCTGCCTCTATAATTTCACCACAGAAATCTCGCATTTTATGCAAATTATGTCATTATTTAGAAAGACAATTTTAAGTAAATGGGAATTTTTAGAAACACTTCCGGGGTTTTTTTTGGAGATAAAATGAGATTTAAGGACATTTGTTTGAGAATTTCTAGAAAGATTTTTTGGCCATTTTCCGGGGTTTTTGTATCTCGACCTTAGCCAACAATTTTTCGGAAGATACTGCGTCTTGTAAAATAAAGAATTGGTTCATGGGAGTGCTGCTTAGCCTGCGTATGTCCAGTTATGGATGAAAGTGAGAAGTTTGAAAGAAGCGTAACAGTTGCTTGCGGCGCAGCCGAGAACAACACTAGCTTCTTGAGTGCTCCACAAAATTCCTAAGTGCATCCCTAACTCGTTATGTGCACATTTAAAAGGTGAAGCAATTCTTTTATAATATAGCAAGCAGACAAAGTAATTCTTATAATAATAATACCCACTGGAGCCTCAGAACCTGGATTGGATCCGGCGCTAATGGTGACAGGAAAGAAGGATCAAGAAGAATAAGAGATAATGGAAACTTTATTTGTGTTTTTAAATGTACAATTGTAAATCTCACTACGTATAGGTAATTTACAAATGCTGCTTGAGATTGGCTCATTCAACGCACACACACAAATCAAAATTGCATCAAATCTGGGTTGTCCCAATTCCTATTTCTACAATAAAAGACGTAATATGTTGCTCTAATAGCTATATTCATCATTTCTTTATTATGTAAAGTTGCTGCTTTTTGTCAATGCCTATAATAATAATAATAATAATAATAATAATAATAGTAAAGACTTTATTTAAAGAGGGTTAACACTTAATAGCCAAAGGCAAATAAACTTGTGGCCCTCGGAAAATAAAAATTACAAACTATGAATACAAATATAATATAATAAGAGTTAAAAACCTAAATTTGTGAGAGACGCGAATACTGTAGTTGAATTACAATAATATTGAAAACTTCCGTAAAATCCTGAAATGCGAATCCTAAATGTTGCTGCGCTGCGAAGATCGTTTTAAATAAATGAGTTTTTAAGAATTTAACAGAGTCTGACTTTCTGATATTTAGAGGCACATTATTCCAAAGTCTTGTCGCTGATACAGCAAAAGAACGGTCTCCTTCAGTCTAATGCTTATAAGAACGACAAATAGAATTATCGGCTAACATACCGCGTGCTTCTGTCATGTTGTATATTGCTAATTGTTTAGCGTTCATTGAGATAGTTCGGAAGAGAGTCATTTACGCGCCTATAAAAGTTAGCACATTTGTTAATTTTTACTCTATTCATAAAAAGGTATCCATCCCAGTTTCATTAAAAAGTGTCATAGAGGGTGCTAGGCGGTTGGCATATAAAATGATTCTAGCTGTACGCTTCTGAAATTTCAAGACTATAAAGTGATTCCTTGTCACAGGATGACCAAATGATGTCAGCATAGCCTATTACTGGTCGAATAAAGCTGTTTAAGTGACAGAAGGGCTCTGATTTTACTCTTTTCTAACATAGCATGCAGACACAAGTGAAAGTCGTGCACGAAAAAGGAGTTCATTACTATATATATATATATACCAGGTAATCATGTTCTACCCAAAAACTATGAACAAATGACAAGGCCATAAAGACCTAGAAATGATTCGAGAGCAAAGCTTTATTACGACCAGAAAACTGCGTAGCTTAGAGTTGAAAATTATGAAAAATTGTACGATTTAAAAGATATATTCTATTGAGCAACACTTTTGGGACATATCAACACTTAAAAATAATTTATTTAGTGTTCTAATGAAGAATCCCTAACGTCGCAAAGCCTCAGATGAAGGTAAATAAGCTCAGTTTTGTTTTTCCAACCTTATTCGCATCGCATCTGGGAATGAAGTATCGTTGACTCCAAAGCTGGAGAACTACATACTAGCTGTCTTTCGAAACGTTCATTATTTAGCATATTTACTTGTCATTTTGAGCTCCAAAAGGTGTATCTCAATAGGAAAAACAATCTTAAAAGGTTTGAAACCTTGCGGCTAAAATCGACGGAAACTTGCAGCTGAAGTAAATCTACACACGTTATCATGTTATGTGTGCACCTGACGGCCGCACGTACATAGAGATTTACACCATAGTAGTAGCTCCTTAGGAATTAGTTAGGACTTACACCCGCAGTATGTTATAATGCTAAATATCTCCAACAGTTGTCTCGCTAATTGTGTTTTTAGTGCTCTTGGTGTTGGCAGTGGAAATAGGAAAAATAATCTGAGAATTCTAAATTCAGTAGCAACAGCCATCGAATCTCCACAAAAGAAGGAAACAGTGCCATCAAAGAAGAAACCCAGCCGTCATTGAACTCCTGTCTTAATAAAATAGCTCAAGTCATCAGTCAGGTTACACTAATGGTGCAGACATTACGCAACTTACTAGCGGTGGAGCTATGTTCTGCACACTTGGACCAGAAAAATCTTTTTTTCCCGAAGCTGACCAAGAGAATTTAACCGGATCGCGTCGATTTTGGCTCGGCGAAGTTAATTTACACCGAGGTGGATGTTAGGAAAACATGAAAATTTCCCAAAGGAACCGTGAACTGGAAATACAAAGGATGATTTAGTAGCTCGTTAAATTAAAGCTGTTCGTTATCTCTTCCTGCAAAAAGATATCACAATATGTTAAATGCTTCAGGCGATTTAGTGAAATGGTGATATTAGGATGCACCCTAATGTTTTGAACAATGAAAAGAGTCATTGTAGAATTACATCAAACATTTAGTTTTGTTCATCTATGAATTTTTTTCCTGGAAAAAACACATTGACTGCGTTATCACTGAAATAAGTAAGACCATAGGAATGACTACGAAGCTGAGATACTTTTTCCCATCGTTATTCTTCATGAATATCTGTAAATCCATAATTTTATGACCTTATTTAATCACAGGGAGCCCACACAAGCGGCGTGTCTTGTCGTTTGTTCGAAATATAAAGAAATGTATGGGAGAATATCAAAGAGTCGTAATATCGTAAACTTGATCAAAGAATGTCTATGTTAAGGCTCAAAATAAAGGTAAACCTAATTCACTTGCTGTGTATTGTCGTTTCTGGGGTTCTAGATGGCGAATTTGAGCGATTTGGTGGGTTTTGCGTTGACTGTTACTTTACGTTATAAGAAGAAGACAAGGGTGGAGAGCTCATTTTCGACCGTCTCCTTCTTATAACGTAAAGTAACAGTCAACGCAAAAACCCACCAAATCGCTCAAATTCGCCATTTAGAACCCCAGAAACGACAATACAGAGCAAGTGAGGTAGGTTTACATTTATTTTGAGCCTTAACATAGACATTCCTTGATATAAGTTTACGATATTACGACTCTTCAATAGTCTCCCATACATTTCTTTATATTTCGAACAAACGACCAGATACGCCGCTTGTGTGGGCTCCCTGTGATTCAATTAGTGATTTCGTTGCTTGAGGCAATGTGTCTAAAAATAATTTGGATATATCAACAAAGTTGAAATGGTAATTTGGCCACCGTAACGATTACAAAAGCTGACGTTTCGAGCTTTAGCCCTTCGTTGGAGCGAATAGAGGGATTGTGGGTTGTGTGTGCTTTTAAAGGCAGAAAATGGAGCTACGTTATTGGTGGGAACATGGCAACGACAAAAACATGAATGAATTATATCTTAACAAAATTGTCATTCTCTAAAAATATCTTAACAAAATTGTCGTTCTCCAGAAACGAGTGTAATGTTTAATCTACTTTACTGATAGAAAAGAACATTCTATCCTCTTCAGTTTGTGGATGTAGAGAATTCTACCCAATACCTTCTTATATAATGAAGCTGTAAGTAAATTACCGCTCGATTTCCATAACGAAAGTACACCTTCTAACGTCATGAAACTTTTCATGAGAACGTCATATATCCATGCCTACATTACTCGTTCGTCAACGTCACAACTCTCTTTAGGTCAATACCGCTACGCTTAAAATGCAAAGAGAGGCCCTTCCGCGCGTTGGTGTTAAAATTTGGAATAAGATACCTAATGAAATTAAAAATTTGTCAATGAAATCCTTAAAAAAAAAGTGAAATTAAAGAGGTCTTCTAAATATTCTAGAGACTGAAAATTCTTATATATGAGCCTGATAAGATAATGCTAAAATTCAAATATTGCAAAGTTGAAACATATTGAACCAGTTCTTATAATATTTTTAGCACACTTAGAAACTCAATAAGGTTAAACAGTTTAATTAAGTGAAATAGAAAATATGTAGCATCTACTATCTACGGATCAAAGGAATATTTTGAGTGTTAAACGTGAGAAATAAATAAATTGTGCGAGGTGTGCGTGGATTGTGTGACCAGGAAGTAGTGTGAAAGCATATGTTTTCATCGCATAATAAACACTGGAACTTAAGCCGGTCCATACTGTGTTCGTAAACCGTTGAGCACTCTTTGGTGTTTGGAGCAACTTTAGAGGTTTCTAGAAAGAAACCTCGAGCGATGTTTACCTTTCTGAGCAATTTTTGAGCAAAGTATGGGTTTATGATAATAATAATAATTTAATATTTATATTACGCAAATTAACATGTGGATATGATTAAATGCGCATCACAACACTTTTCGGGGGACTTTGGCCGGACTGCATCAGCAGTTTACAAACGATCCGGCGAAGGGAACTTATTTGAAGATGCCCCCTCCCTCCCCCCCCCC